GACGCTCCGGCTCCCGGTGCGGGGATCGAAGCTCCCAGCTCGTTTTATTCCTTCCCCGAGCACGGGCTGCTCGCTAAGGGCGACGCTCGGGCTCCCGGTGCGGGGATCCAAGCTCCCAGCTCGTTTTATTCCTTCCCCGAGCACGGGCTGCTCGCTAAGGGCGACGCTCGGGCTCCCGGTGCGGGGATCCAAGCTCCCAGCTCGTTTTATTTAACAGGGAATCGTGACACGCGCAAAAAAAAAAGGGAGAAGAGACGCGACTGTTTTTTTTTTCCCCTCAGATCTTTACTTGCAGTGAAAGATAGAAAAAGGTAGTAAATGAACTCGGTATAAAACACACGGAGGGGAGGGGGAAGGGGTACAAACCAGCCTACAAAGAACACAACCTGGCGGGAGCAAGGGGCGAAAGGGAGAAATTTGGTACAAAACTACTGCTTACAGGTAGAGAAAAAACGTATAAAATATCCCTCCCTCTCTGGAGACAAAAATACAAAAGTGGACGTTATTTCATTCTGTACTTATACTTAAAAAGGTTATGTACACGAGAGAAAAGAAGCAGGTTCTGTGGCTTGGGAAGCTTGTCAAACACTCGCCGCTTCCTCCCACATCGCACTTGAGAATAAATTAAAAGCGTTGAATGGGCACGGCCCCGTCCGAGGCCGGCGGGAGAGCCCAGAGGAGCGAGGCGCTGGGGGTAGATCGTTCAGAAGCGTCGGGGCATCCCCCCAAACTCCCGTTTTCGGAAGGGTTTAAGTGCTTCCGAGTTATTTTTGCTTCTCCCCCGTGCCCGATGGGGACGCGGCTCGTCCTCAAGGCTCCCCGGGAGTCGCACGCCGAACGTACTCGGAGACACCTTTGGAAGCGCTTCTCGACGTGACGACGGTGCCTTGCCTCCGACGCAACCTCTGGCCTGGCGTCAGCCTCTATCCCCAGGCAAAACATGTGCAAAATATCAGGGAGAGAGAGGAGCGATTCATCCCGCTCAGCTGGGGCCCTGCGCGCAAGGACAAAGGTGGCCAGAAGCCGCGGCCCCAGCTCCCGCGAGGAGGCAAAGCCGGGGCAGGGGGGCAAAAAAAAAAACCCCACAACCCCCAACAAACCCCCAGCGCACACGCTGACTTTGTTCTCTGTCGCTCCGGAAAAACGTTTGGAAATATATACAGAACAGTTCAGCGGCGCACGGGCTCTGCTCCACAGCTTTGTACCTGAATTCCCGTAAACAGTTGACGCTAAAGAACGGGGAGACCAATTCCTCGGGCGGAAAAACGGCACCGCAGGAAGCGGCATTTAACGAACAAGTTATTTTCGGAGATCCCCCGGGGCTCCTGCCTGCCGCCCTCGAGGGACGCCCGACCTGCCTCCGGCCCCCTGCCCGGCTCGCCGAAGCCCCCAGCCAGGCTGTCCCGCGGGTGCCAGGTTATAACCTTAGGATTAGAGTTAGGGCAGGGTTTGCGATGGCTTTGAGGACAGAGAATTCAGGAGTAGAGGACGCATCAAAAATGTCCCTCTGCAAGAAAACCCTCCCTACATCCAGCCCCAAATAGGTTTTTGCCCACCCGGCTTAGAGCTCTCCCAGTGCGCAAGCATCCAG